TCTTCTTCATTTTGAATTATTTTATTATTTTGAAATCATTTCTTACTCAGATCGAAATATTATTATTGAGAGAGGGAATTTGTTGAAACGTTGATTATTTTGGGCATCTCTTTAATTTGAATCTTTCGTTTTTTTTGTTACAGTAATACGCAGATCGTTTTATCTCGGGAGTGTTTATTCGTTCGTGATCGCGAAATATTGAACAACGATTCCGCATTCAGTGTCCTGTGCAACGGAAAGAGAAGGAGGGGAAGGCTTGACAACCCAGACGTTCTGAGAGGAGGAGGAGGCCTGGCAAAGGCATCGGGTCCCAGCGGAGCAACTTTGGGGTGAGTATTATTTTTTTTATCTTAAAATTAATAGTTTTTTCCCATTTTTATTCGAGATGTTTTATTTCAATAAGTTAGAAATAATTAGAGAAAGCGTTTTATAAAAGTTTATTCTCATAAAGGTTTTTCCCGGGAAATAGATAATTATATTAGAGTAAATTTAATTAAAAGATGAATTAGACGCGTGTAAAAATTATTTTTTGAAACATTGATTATTATTTTGAACGTTTATTTAATGTGAATTTTTTATTTTTGTTACAGAATCATCGCAACTACGTGGCAGAATAACTCCGCTCGTTGCGCATCGGTCGGTGAGTCTTTTTACTTCTTATTTATGTATTAATAAGTAAAAATACGGGTAGGTAGGAATCCGCGAAAATAGGTAGGCACAAATGAATAAAAATACGGGTAGGTAGGGACTAGACTATGCAAAGAGACGCACGAAGCGAATTAAAAGCAAGGTTGAAGCGAGGCGATCGAAGATTATAGTATAATCTTCGGGACGTATTAAGAAGATAGGACTTATGAAATTATTGTCCCTTTGGATCTCACGTCATTCATTTTGAATGTCTCACTTAATATTTGAGGTGAGATCAAATAATGTTCGCGATTTATCTCGCGGTTCGATTTGCGGTTCGGTTCGCGACTCAAATTATGCTATAAAAATTGTTTGCTTTTTCGTTGATTTATTGATTGATGGATTTTTAAATTTTGGTTCTTCCGTGTTTCTGCATTATGATATTCAAATTTAGATATTCGCGATTGAGATATAATCGCGACGATTTGATTAAAAAACGCGATTAACATATTCTTTACATTCTTTGATATAACTCTTTGTTTTTTTTGTTTTGTATCATTTTGATATATTTCTTGATAAGAAACGTACCTTTCCATTTTCCTTCCGTCATGTTTACGATAAGAAACACATACGTGATATAAGTAAGTCAGATACACCATATATAAAATAAAATACCATTCTAGCTATCACATTTGCTTTATCAATGAAATGTTACTAAAAGTCTCGAGTACGGTTTTGTTTTTGTAATTATTTAGTAGAACTTCAGGATAATTATGAGCTTTGATATTGTCTATTTTAATCATCAGTATAACATCGCAATAATGAGCATAATTACAAAACCGTACTCGAGACTTTTAGTAACATTTCATTGATAAAGCAAATGTGATAGCTAGAATAGTATTTTATTTTATATATGGCGTATCTGTCTTACTTATATCACGTATGTGTTTCTTATCGTAAACATGACGGAAGGAAAATGGAAAGGTACGTTTCTTATCATGGTAGCATATTATCATAAACTTGATGTAAGGTTAAAGTCGGGAGATAAAACTGCAAACGAGTATCCATTATAAAATGGCTGTATTTAGGGGCAACTCGATACATGTATTGCATTTCACCAGTACACAGTGTTCACCACTTTTTATGACGTGTTGTAATATTAGAGTACATAATGTTACAGTAACATGGTCGCGTACGTTTAACATCACATAACACACACACACACAACAGACACACAAACACATATACACAACAGGTATACAGTACTCTTTTCTGAATCCCTGTCCTCTCTGACTTTTCTTCACTCTAGGACGAAACGCGAGTAGAGTATTCACTTGAAAAGTCGCAGTTAACAAATAGTTTAAGAAAATAATTGAGTAATATTTTAGGTAAAAATGATAAAACGGATTTGTTTGCACTATTCTACTCCTGTTTCACGCCATTTCACGCTTCTTTAAATTTCAATTTTAATTATATTAAAATATCGCTATTGCATCATTTTCTATAACATTATCCTTTGATTATTCATACATTTTTTTTTATGACAGCTGCAATAGCCAGTCTTTACAGCTTAACTATTTTAATTCGTACTATAGTATTGAATTTTTATTAAATTTTGATTATTGAGCCAAAGCTATCTCGGAAGATATTGTATTTGTGTATTTGTTATAATATGACATCTTATTATTCACTGTTAATTTACTGTCGCAGAATATTTTTACAAATTCCCTTATTAATGACTAAATTATTGCGATAAAGCCAATTAGGCGTGAAAACAATTATAGGATACTTTTTATGCGAGATCTCATCACACATATTACACATGTTAAACGCACTCAATTGCATACGGTAAATCATATCTATCATTTTGTACGAATAGACCTTTATTTATCCTTGATAAGTAATAAATTGATTCTCAAACATGTAACATTGGAAAGCGAAGCATGTAATCGAAAATGTTTTTTGAACAAGATAAACTCAATGAGAGTGAAAAATGAAATGACTACATTATACCAAAGAGCTGCAGTTATTCAAAACATAACTTCTTAAATGTTAAACGCACAAACGCTTTGAATAATTAGGTACACCAAACTCGCAACAACAACACGGATACAAACCGTTTGGGAAAGTCGCTCACGATCTATAGAAAACATGATGTATAATTTGCGGAGTAATTCCAGTAACGCACAACAGCATTAAGTGGTACATACAAAACAAATGATAACAACAAACGTATTTTTCCTTTGCCAAATATGCTCGTACACGCATTAAGTCTTACGTCGTAAAAAGTCGCGTTTAGGCCTGCTTGTCGCTTGAGAACACGTTTCGCCATAACGCAATAATAACTATTTAGATGTAATTCACTCTAGAAAAATAACGTCATGGATATTCCTCGTCGCGGATATTCGTCATTACAAACGTTTCATCTCTCGTACCCTTCTTTGTTTTTCTTTCAGGTAAAAATATAAATATATTTCGTTCACAGCGCGATATAGCTCCCCATGTAGATCCATTTATTGTTTTCTTTTTTTCACCCTATCTTCTTAATACGCCCTGAAGATTATAATCTTCGATTGCCTCGCTTTAATTTCGCTTTTAATTCGCTTCGTGCGTTGCTTTGCATAGTGTCCCTCAGGACATGATTTGATCTTTAATAGAAAAAAATCGCAACTGTAGAATTACCATTTTTTAAATCTATAACGAATAATCGATCTAATGATTAGAAAGTGTAAAGTGAAGTGTAAGTGAAATTATTGTGATAAAAAATTTCACTTCAGGTTCTTCTCAGATATATTGTTCAAGATAATTTAATAGTGGATTAATTATATTAATATTAAAATGTTTAAAACATTATTCTATACTTTTTCATTTTCTTAATTGCGATTTCTGGGAGAATAATTAGCGGTTGAGATTTTCTTCTACTGAAGATACGATATCTCGATTGTGCGAGAGACCAGGATTCCCCTGTCGGACATTTTCTCACTAGACTGAAATATAGAAATACACGCACATACTTGTTCGATAACATGGCTTGTACTCCCCATAAGGTTTAACAAAGTTAATGAAAGACATTTCCTTATTACAACTAGTTTGAACATCGTCGTGTCTCGGCCGCGGTGTTGTGTGGTACAGTACACGATTTATTGCCTGCTCTCGCGATTTTATCCGATTTTTACCTCGCGTGGAATTTAGGCGCAAAGAAGTTTCACCACGCGACTTGAAAAAGAACAGGGTCGATGACAAAAGACAATCATAAAGAACGCGCGGAACTCGTCTCCGCGTTACTCTCTCCGTCACCGTCGTTACTGGCTGAAATTAAACGTAACGAACTACTTCACTGCCTTGAATCCACGCGAAAAAGCCTCTCGAAAGTAATCGGCACAAGCGGAGAAATTAGAATGACGCAACTTCTCAAACGACGCCCAAAAGATACAACGTTTAAAAACGGTTGCATGCCAAGCACACGATTTCCCACAATTGCCTACAATCACATCCTATAAATCGTTTCGTAAGAAAGCGGTGTAATCGGACCGGTATAATACGATAAAATCGCAGATCCTTAATGAACGGAAGATCGTGTCACCTAGTAGCGACAGCCCTCGCAATTGTTACAACCTAGTTACACTTACTTAACAACTATCATTTAATTATTCGTACGTCTAAGGTAATCAGGTTCTTTCACGCGTATCTATTTAACGTATATGTAATTTGATTATTCATGTATTTGCGGTATTTCAACGTGTGTTTGATATTAAGCTAGCTGATATTACATTCCCTTGCTTGCTTGCGTTGCTTAGGCGAACTTCGTACATCCTCCGAAGTGATTTAGGTGCCTCGAAGTCGCTCGTTTTACAGGCTGCGCTTGAAATATCGATATCTACTCGAAATCGGGATGAGTGTTCCAAAAGATCGCGAAGCACCGTTAAAGTGAGTGAATCAAACACGTGGCTTGGTTAATGGGTATCGGGAAATAACAGTCCCGTACTGCTCCGTCTTGTGGACACGTCTTCGTAAAGAGATGAAAATATATTTGCACAGTACGCGATTGTACCATAAATTTCCGAGAAAATATATATATCGGTTTCAAAGAGAGTTACGCTTAAGGGAAAATGCGAAACGTCTTTACTTTAAATCATTTACACCAGCGCGTTTTCATTTCCTTTTATCTTTATATAAATTCTTTTTAGTTTAATAACAGTACGTAAATGTATAAATAATGTTTAATATATTTATAACTTTTAATAATTCTCTTTTCTTTAAATTATTTAAATAGTTTAGTTTTTTTTTATTATGCGTTGTACTTTTATTTCCAAACGAAGAAAGTCGATGGTATATATTTTGCGAAAACTTGTCCCTTAAACTAGCCCTATATTTTATAACAGTAATAAAAGTAACGCGATAGAGTTATTAATGAAATGATTCGTTCTGCTAGTCGATGCCGCTACGATCGCCAAGATGAGACATGAAACTTCGTTCGAACATCGCACAAAGTATTCATGCGAGACATTGTGAGGAAATCTCATTGATTTCCACAATTTATAATCTCCGTTTATAATTGCAACGGTTAGCTTATCGAGCTCTCTACTCAAATGGCTGGTTTGCGAGCAGCGATCGACGATAAAAGCAGAATACAACGGAGAAGAGTCTCGATTAAATATATCAAATATATGTCAAAAGGAAGACTCACGTTCCTTTACTTCTGGAGGGCAACGTTAAAACGTACAGGGTGTCCTAAGGAATATAATGAAAATATACGCGTACTCTCCTTTGCACTCGAGATTTGCATATAGAATGAAAATTTCTATTTTCAACACAAGCGTGTATTTCCAAGACATCCTGTACGTAGATAATTAACGGCAGGTTTGCGAACGGCCAAGAACATTCGTTAGTTCCTGAGCTTCCAGTTCGCAAAACAATTTGTTAGAGAATATATAACTTGTATATGCATATGTGTACATATATATATAGTAATATAATACAATGAAACGTGGGTAGGGTGTCTGAAGCATCTTGCACTCTTTCCGTACGAGATCATGCGATAAATAGTATATTATTCATTATTGGAAATTCCATTAAATTGCACAGTCACTTAATTATTAAATACTTGGGTAAATAAGTGCCGTAGATAAAAAAATCTGCCTAATTATAAAAATTAATCAATCAAAGAAAAAATTCCATTACTCTTTTCCCTTTTTCAAATTATTTTAATTTATTTTTTAATTTATTATGATTTGTTTATTCACGATAACTGCGGCAGAAAGAAAGCGCACGACTTTCGATACACCCTATAAAAAATGTTAATACAATGCAGTGCAATGCAATGCATCGCAACGCAATGTCATATGATTCGTATTACGCTGCACAGCAGGAATTTGGCGTAAAGTGTAATCTATAAAAATATCTCTCCTCTGGAGCAAATGATAGTATAATAACAAATATCTCGAGGTTCTCCGAGAAATCGATTCTCGCGTCGAACAGAAATGTAATAATCACAGAGAGGAGGGAGGGAGGGAGGGGGGAAAATTCTTCACTTCGAGCAAAGAACGTTGAACTCCTGACTCTTTGAGGGATGATATATAGGAACAATTTGTGTATCACGTAACAATAACTATCAGATTTATGTAACTGGTGATACAATATGGATATTATTATCAGTTTCTTTATCGATAAATGCGATTAAAATGACGAAGATTGTAATATAACAATCGTCTGTCTGTCATAAATGTACCAAATGCTCATTGACTTTTGCCCCTCAAATAGTTAGGATAGTTATCAGTTATCATTTTTAATGAATATAAAGTGCGTTCAATATAATGCAAATGTAAAAAGCCTTACGCTGCGTTTTGACCGTACAGACACGATACTTGCATTTTTCTTTTGCGATAACATTTTCTTCTATCGTGTCATCAGACGATCCATTCTTTTTATGCATATGGTGTAGAAACTCACTGCATGCTTACGTCAAACAATTCTTTTGTACTTACACTTTCGTGCGTCGCACTGTCACCGATACTACAAAAAAAATTAGGCAAAATCACATGGTGTGCACGCGTTACAAAATTTCTCACAAAATTCGGTATAAGCAAATTCATATTTTCAGATCCTTAAAATTGTTTCGGAAACCTTGACACTTTGAAAGCAATTACCACGTATCGGAATTTTTGATTCCCAAGAATAACTTTAGTCGTATAAAAAAAATAGATTTTTAATATGCGTTTAATCCGAGTATCACATTTGTTCGTGATTAGCAGAGTTCCGTGACAAAAATTTTAAAGTGAGATTTGATGAAAGAAAAGTATAGGTTTCATAAAAAGGATTTTTTACTATAAAATTTCATTTAAAAAAAGTTTGAATTACCAGAATTGTGAATTTATCTTTAAAGATCAAAGCAACTCCAATCTATGGTCCTTACATTGCAATTAATAACTGCTACTATTGGCCGTATTTATTCCGCGATAACTTAAACTTTTTTCCTGCCAATTGCACATAACAAACGCGCGGGTATCGTCATTCATATGATACGGTTAGCAATAATTTCCTTTAAAAGGGGGAGATGCGAACGGATGGTAGGATATCTAAGTAGGTGATGTTGCGACGAACAAATAGCGACACGTGCCGTTGACATGCAGTGGCTCATTGTCGGCGTTGTATAGGTATATAATTTCAAGATATACTTAATGTCTGGAACGGACCTGCGTATATGTCTGTTTCTTCGGTAGTTCTTACCGAGGTTAAACCATTAGAGAGATATTGTCGTTCGGACGTTATACATTGCTATTTGTGACGTATTATCAAGCTGACGCTTTACTTTCTCCCTTATCTATCAGCGTGTCGCCGTTCGCCGTGCTGATTCGCTCAGGTGCCTGAGCTTTCCAGGTCGCGGTGTTTCGAGTCGCCGGTGGTTTTGGTACCTCGCATTACGTATCGAACACGAGAGGACGAACGTTCGTTACGAGCGTCGGCGAATAGCGTAATCGGTCATCTCGAACATCGATAGATCGAAAAGCATAATCAACGGTAGCGTTTACTGCGAAACGGTGCTATCCCAATGGAAAAAAAGACACTGCGCGGTGGGACATCTCGCTTCGAGATATGTAAGCTTTAAGAAAATATATTATTGTCAAAAACACGACTATCTCTTCGCTTGTATATTTCGCGTGTTGAAGCGCCTCTGTCTATGAACGTCGGTTACATAAGCACGTCTTTCCTTTCTCTCTCTTTCTTTCTCGCTTGGTACGGTTCATAAACTATGATGCACCATCGAGAAAAGACTGCCATAAGTTTAATAGACCAAGCGATCGGAAATAGCGTTATAATTTACTGAACTGATTAAAAAATAGGTATTAATTAAGAATTACGAAAGTAAAGCATGAAAGTTGAATTTTCATTGCCTCCAACTTATTGAAACTTTTTTTTTACAACTTAATTTAATGCATTTAAGTCCAAAAAATAAGTATTTTCATCACGTTATGGCAGTATTCTATCGGAGACGCGACGTGAACAATTTATCCTGAAAATAATGTAAGTCAAATTCTGAAGATTTAAAGACATCAGGTACACTACGTCGACTTAGGTCATTATTCGTCAAGCGTACATCTCTCATGAATTGATCATGCTTCAAAATTTGATGTAGATCATCTTCACAGTAAAACCGCTCACGTGTCTGGTTGTTCGAGAAATCAACGGCTCTATCAAAGATCACAGCTTTCGACTGCGAAAGTAATATACGTTTGCGTTAATCATACGTCACGCGTCATATGGTACAGGTAATCGTATCTATATCAAATCATCAAGGTCCCTCGTATTCTCGACAACTTGAACTCCCATTGCTCTTGTGGCATTCTTTCAAAACGAACGTGCATTCGCACCTTGGTAACATGGTAGGCTCGCCGTCAAATGTAACGTAATCGTCGATCGGTCAGATTAAAGAGCAACATAATTTATTGTCTGCCTCTATGTACCCGCAATCACCGTTTCGTCCGACGAGCGCTCCAGGCCGCAATCGCCTTTCGCTGGTATTCGGAAAGAAAAGTGATCGAGTTGCCCGGATCTCGAAACACGCGCGTTTCACCCGGAGTCTCTTCACTTCGGAAAAAAATCATTCATCCTCTCTCTCTTTCTTTCTCCCATTTTATCTTTTAGCAGTTTTAGCGCACGTGCGTACAGTCAATCGGCATAAAATTCTAAAATAATTTTACGATATTAAAGTTTTTAAATAGCTTGCACAGTTTGAACAAATCTAAATAAAAAAAAAAACAAACAAAAAATGCGAAATGCATTAATATGCGAGGCAAGAAAACATGTACGTTTAAATGAAAAAAAGAATATTTCAGTTGTATGCCTGAACTATTCCTTATTTATATTTATATTCTGCGATAACAATTTGTTTGCATAATTAATCAATGTTATTTAACAATAACGGTAGTATTTGGATATAAGTAGAAATTTGAAATAATCATTCTGATATTTTTTCTTAAAAAATTGTTACCTTAAATTTTCATTTAGTGGTGTTTCGTACTTTTATTCTTGTAAAAACCGATAAGAGAAATTGTAATCATATGGAAAAATCCCACTATAGCTTATCTTACTTCATCAGTTTAAATGCCTTTTAACTAATAATATGATACGATACGGTCATCAATTTGTAAATGGTTTTTGTCGAAAATCTAATCTTTTATAAGGATTCACAAATGATCGGTAGGTTTAAGCCGACTAATACGCAAAAGAATCATGATATACAAATATGAACGAATAATAAAGATTCAATAAAACAATGGAACATCACGCGCACAAAATGGAATAGAATTACTCCGATTGATAGTACGCGACAGATGCGCTCGCGCGTTATTATCACTTCAATTCTCTCGTCTCTCTCGCGCTACCAATCGCGCGTTTTCAATTTTCCGTTTCGTGCCGGGGCGGACTACGCGCGCGTGCATGCGTGCGTGTGGGGGTGTATATGCGTGTGGAACGCGGGCGGCGGAGAGGACATATACATATACATACAATGTATTAAATATATGTATATATATGACTATCTACAATGTATTTCACGTATGTTTCTTTTCTTTCTCGTGGTAGCAACATCATCATATGTATAGTATATAATAATTCACGTGTTACAGCTCCGCTGTTTATAGTTGCGACCGCCTTTTTCTTTATCTGTCACTATGAATCGCTAGGTACTACCTATGGGTCTATTTCGCGTGCTAACGCGCAGGGTTTTTTTTATATAACACGTCTAAAGGTACATACATACATACCACATAATCCGCACGTAGCTTATACGCTCCTGAATCCGACGATGCGGCGAATAACACTTGATTGTGCGACAGCGGAAACATGTCGTGCCACATTTTTCATCTTCTGAGAGATCGCAACATATATACAATCCCTCCGTGTTTACGAACGAAGGGGTGCTCGCGTTAATCGCCCTGGTTGAATTGTTCTCGCGTAAGAACTGTCCTTTTTCTTTTTATCTTTCCTAATAGCCACTGCCATATACCTAATGACCATAGGCACCTGTTAATTATCACAATGGGCAACTATAGTCATTGGGTATGTAACGAGGGATTGTCAATGGTCGCAGCATTGCTTCCGTCCAAGACTCCACCAACGAACCCGTGCATGAACAATCCCGTTTAGGTCGTTAGATTATTCCTTCAGTAACTAAAGGAATGAACACCATACGAACGTCTTTTCAAATCTCGTACGCTTAGAGTAGCAAACGCTCTGCTTGATTGTTCCCATAGGAATAACGCGATAACTTGAACGTTTTAGACTGTCGGCTTTCGAAGCACCTTTTCAACCAGGGCAGTCGTCCACTCAATGGTGATCGATTACGGAAACGCGGCACCACGATTATCGGTCAATTCACGCTACGTGCGAAAGCGCTAGGGTCGATCACTCTTCAACGTGTCGTCGGCGTGCCCGCTCTAAAGTTACTAACAATCGAGGAGGTGATGGCAATGAGAGGGCGACGGCAAGGACGGGAGACGTGTGTACTTGTGTGTCACTACGTTTGCGCGCGTTCTGCGTGTATTACAAGCGGTAAAAACACTCGAAGTACGGTACCTTTCGTACGCGTCGCGTTTTAAGGGAACAAGCGACGCAAAAGGAATATCGTATAATAATAATATAATAACATATGTATATATGTATATATATATTACGTAAACATATCGTGTATACTGTTATATATTTCAGGACTTTCTCGCGGGGGGGGCGCTTAAAAGGGCGTGGAAAGCTAGGTAACTTCTAAATTCTCCGCTCCGTAAAATTACCGAAGGGGAGATAAATATTAAGGGTACGTAAAAGTCTAAACGAAGCTCGGTTGATTGTTCCGGGTCGCGCCTCCCTCCCCCGTCGTTTGGACATACTCTCTTTATTTTACCGTACGTTACGTTACCGTTATACCTAAAAATTTCAAGTACTCGTCTAAGATTAGTCCGAAGGAGCGCGAGGTGTATCTGTGTATATAATGCGTGTACGTATGTGCAAAAAATTCGCGGAAGAAAGTCTCTCCTCTCAGTTTTCCGGCCGTAAGGCCGAAGCTTTACCATTCGGCGGCGGAAGCCGCGCGTCCCGCTCGAAGTCAAAGACTTCCGATGCCTCCCCAATTCTCTACCTGCGCTACTTACGCGCGAAACCTTCGACACATCGCTCATAAAGCCTTAACTATATAGAGTAAAATTGGTATGTTCGTGCGATCGAAATCGCGTGATTCGCTTCCGCGATCTCACTGTTGTTGTACATGCCGCGGTCGATCGGTCATCGATGAACTCTTGATTTTTCCGTCGACGGTCTTGAATGCGGTAGTTTCATGAGGCATGAAACGACTTCTCGTTACGATCCTACGAAGTCGAGGAACTTGGATAGCGGATCCATTTTATTTCTTCTCCATCGAGAGTCCTCTGTTACTTCAGGTATTTCCGAACTAATTTTTCGACAATAGGATCGACACAAAATCTGAAACACAATTGGTTCTGATTAGCATAATTCAGTGTACAATTTAATAATTTGTGATAATAACTATATACATATGTTATATTTCTTAAACCCGAATATCAGGTTTATATTAAGAAATATAATAAAATCTAATAAATATAATAAAATTCACGGGCATCTCTTATTACGCACGTAATTGTTAATTGGAAAACTCGCGATAAACATTCGCCGTAGATTTCATATTAGGTCTAAACATATAGGAAGGAAAACACGTTACCTTCGTAGTTGACCATTCCGTCGCCATCTAAATCCGCCTCCTTAATCATATCGTCGACCTCCTCTTCAGATAGCTTCTCACCGAGATTCGTCATTACGTGTCGCAGCTCCTTCGAGGATATTAAGCCGTCGTTGTTCTTATCGAACACTCTGAAAGGGAAACGAGTAAAGTGCTAAATTGCCAGGCTTATCTACGTCTTAAGAACACTATTGTCCCCGGGCGAAAGTTGCCTCGGGGCGTTCTTTCAATGCAATTGTCCCATGGGCAATTAGGTACTCGGAGTTCTTATACAGCGAAGAACTTATTACCGGAACGCCTCGCGAAGTTCGTCCTCCCCGTCGGCGTTCTTCATCTTCTTCGACATCATCTGCAGGAACTCGTTGAACTCGATGGTACCGTTTCCATCTTGATCCACTTCATTCACCATATCGCGCAGTTCCGTCTCTGAAAGAGACGTATTGCCGCTCGATTTATACATCGCTGTTCCGGATACTCGCAAGATACATCCCGGATGCATTCGTCATTCGCGAAGAGCAAATTACTCACCCGATGGTCTTTGACCGAGAGACCGCATAACGACTCCTAATTCCGCCATCGTAATCGTGCCATCTTCGTCCTTGTCGAAGAGCATGAATGCCTCTTTGAATTCTGAAATAACAGAGTTTCTCGTCGTTATCGTGCCGATCATTACCGTACTCGAGACAAATAGCTATTGTTCGATGCACTTGAAACGATTTCTCGAGTGTCTTATTATGCACTGATTAATTGTTAATTGCAAAGCTCGATGGAAACGTGTACTATACACGTGCACACAGTGTTTTGTTTTACTTTTATTTGTTATATTGATAGTTTCTATTGATTAACCCCACTCTAGACTAACCTATTATTCTTGTCAGATTTCACGATAGAATTCTTTATTCTATAATTTATATGCCACGTGCATTTAAATGTATGTATTTTAATATATATTTTGTATATCTCTCTCTGTGTATTCTGATTTTTCAAATGTTTTGTATAACAGGTCACGTAAAGTTGTAAGTAGAATTCTGTTCTGAATTGTAATACAAGTTACAGTTCGTCTAAAGTGGGCTTTACGTATTTGAATCGCTAATTTTAAACTTTTAAGTTGGTGTAACTTGTTTTACATACGACTTTTTACGCAAGAAATTTCTTAATATCTTAATTATTTGATAATTAAAAAAAATTATATATCCGCTATATATATATGTATATAGCTATTAATTGATATCCACGAAGGTTTCCTTTTCTATCTCGCTTCTGTCCAGTATTATTATGAAGGACATAACGATGATGAACGAATGAAGGACATAAAGATATAACTAGAAGGCTACAAATATCGCAGCAAGTTGGATCGTGAGTTTAATATAATCAATATCATCGCGTGTCAACGACGATGTCATTAGAAATAATGAGCCATCCGCGTATTAAGTTACGCATCAATTATTTATGTTCGACGAGTTTATTCGCTTAGATCATCTAGTAAAACAGCTTTTATTCGGTATCTTTTGAATCTACCATGTTCTGTCTTTTAAATTATTTCTAACACTCTTACTTTAACTGACTCAGCATCGAGATATTAGGTAAACAGGAAAAACTGCTGCCAACTGGCACGCACATATGCCACATAACAATCAATTTTATGTCTTCCATGTATGTCTAACGACGCTATTCAAAATGTCACTCTTACATGAACAAAATGAATAAGATAACACAATAATTTGTACAAATAAAAAAGACATTAATTACTAAAAATATTGTTAATAGTACAAAGTATTTTATCGTATAACATAAAATATTAGAAGTAAATTTCAGAAATGTTACGAATTTTTAATTAGGTTATGAAAATTAATTATTGCTGATTTATTAATTATTATTAATCTATCTTATAAATTACTGAGTTATCTACAATCGTCAACTCACCTGCTACCTGATCTTCTGTGAGTCCATATTCGGACTGAAACAGAGAAAAGGACAAATGCCCTATCATTTCATATGCGTAACGCAATTTTGTCTTGCATCTATGTCTTGAATCATGTTTTTATATTACATAATGAATGTATGTAAGTACTAAGCGGTGTCTAAAGATATTGCCTCATTATGGGCGAACGACCTTGCTCTAACTATTACTCTCCTATGATCTGTTCTCGTATGATACAGAAGATACTGAAGAAATTTTGGCGAGATGCCCGACGCTAGAAACTCCGACGCGAAGGGAGGTCGTGAAATGAATTATTAATAATAACGTGTCGCAACGTGCATGATAGCGAGTCTCGCGCGACAAAATGACGACGCAACTGACTGCTTGAATGCATTTTATTTGCGTTCACGTTTGCTCCGAATAAAAATTTCCTTTTTAATTTCCCACACGTCTTGCGCACACACGTGTTTCAGGCTGTTGCCAGAAATTTGTATTTTTACTTACACTCAACTGTCTAATTTGACCGTCTATCGTGCTGGTCAATCTACGCAGCTGACCATACGCGTGCGTGTATTTCTTCTCTGTATCCGTCATGATCGAGTGTCACACCGAGGAACGCGTGCCGGAAGTGTCCATTAACGAGATTATACAAAACGTTAGCTGCCGGATTCCACGACTACATTTGTCTCGTCGCAATTACCGTCGTGTCGCCGTCGAGACCGACATTTCAATCCCATTGCAATCGCGTCATACGCGACATTTCCACCGATGCATAAAGAAAAAGGAGAAAGAAACGTAAACTGCACTTTTATCGTGATCTCCCGGGATAGAGATATATTCGACGCGCATATATTCGCGACGGATCCGTTGCTCGAAAGCTGCTCTGAATCGAACTAATATTTATCGACTACGAGCTATCTCAAGGTCGTTGCTGGTACCGAAAAAGAGATATGGATAGAGAGGTAGGTACGACATATCCGAAAGACGCTCAGACTTCTCGTCGATCACGATTACTTTCCGTTTATTCAGACGGGTAAAACGGAGGAGATGATGTTTGAACCGAGAAGTCGACAGATCTCGTCGTCGTTTTTTTTTTCGCGGTAAAATGAAATGTCGAAGATGACGATCAAGGCGACCGTGGGCACGATATTCCGGCAATCACATGGGCGACACTATTCGAGGATGTGATAGCTCGCGGATGAGTAAAAATAGCCGACGTGTGGCATAGAGAAATACGCGGCGCCTCGCAATTCGATGAAGTCGGATGAAAAGTTGAGAGAACGACTCGTTTCTCTTTCTTGTCACTTCCCTCTTCAACTTCCGCGGTCGCACACGCACCGTTACTTCACGCACGCCTCGAAGACGAGAAAAACGCACTTGCCGGCGCGACTTCCGAACATCCGGTACCGAGCGCGATGAGCGCAGATGTCCGCACGATGACAAAGGCGTGTGAGTTTGGAACTTTGGCAACCTTAGTCTGTTTTTAACTACCAGGTCCCCTCTTCGGTTAGACGCTTAGGTGACTACTCCCTTCCCCGCTTCTGACGTTTCATGAACAGATATTTTGCTCATTATATTATTTTGCGCGTTAACGAGTATAAGGATAAACTTCCGGTAATCATATCGTCTTTCATAAAAATACTTTTAATGATTTCAAGTGCATTTTTCTCGCATTTTGAAAAACCAATTCGTATTCTTGGCGTTTATCTATGTATCCAGGCATTCCGACATAATAAACCGATCTAGTATAATTAACGGTAGCATTAATACCATAATGTTAATAGCGTAATATACGAGGTAATATATTAATAAAGTAGAATAATAATATTGACAAAGAGAAAAATACAACGCTGTTTAAATATATTATATATTTAATTTTCTCATCGATAAAAATTTATTCGCTTGAAATCACTTTGAATATTTTCATTGAAGAATTTATATCAATAAAGCGGGAATAATTTTAACGAATATAAATTAAACCTCTTGTATGAGAATTCATTTTTTACCTTCCGATAAAAATTATACTTGATATAATTGGTTAAAAATAGTAATTAAATAATATGTGATAAGAGTATGAAAAAAAGTTTTTCAATAAACGGATATTTCTACGGTTATACGTGATAAGAGATTATGCGAAACAATTATAAACAAAGTGGACATATAAAATAGTAGTCGTAATAATAATACAAGTTTATAATCAATACAGAATACTTATATGCTAGAGTTGCACACATCATGCACACGCAATTTGCATGAAGATCAAATATTAGATCTATTTGAAGTTGTCAACAGACTTATCGAAATCCCAAAATAGAGCAACACGATCGAGGAGCTGTCGTTAATTATGCCAATCTAATTAAATGACAGCACGGCGTTATTTTCCTTCGGCGTATCTTGACAACGTACGCGGCGTACATTAGCCGAACATGAGGAACTTATCGATCGCTTATCGCGTATTCAACTGGGTCAGATCATGCCATATTTATTGCCGATGTGCACGCATTACGCGAAGCGCACGCTAAGTTGACAAAGGCGACTCGTGACGCGATTCGATCCGTCGCCGATAACTTCGCTCTCTCGCTTCTACGAACAGAAATAATTAGGTGGCCTACTCATGCAAATCGTCTGGGTAGATCGTGCTAACGATTTTAACGGCATGGGCAGGCTGAATAATTGATCGAAATTAGCTACTCGCGCATGGCACGGCATAATGGTACTCAGCCTACTTTAACGTTCACCAAGCTGTCCGAAAGACATTAAACTCAATTCTTATCAAATCGGAGGTAATCTTTAAGAAATCTTATTTGTTAAGCGTGAAATAATTGAAGTTTGATGATATGGATAATCAAGCTACATGCTAAAATTTTGAAAACGTATAATGTGATTGAGAAAGAATAAAATTTTTGTTATTCAATCACATAAGTTTACTTTACGAAAAAATCTTTTATTTCTGATTGCTTGTCAAAAAATATCAATATTTTATTCAAGATAGAATTTAGCGGTTAAAGAATCCACCATTGAAATTAAGATTGGGATTTTGTAAAATAATCTTGTATATAGTTATTTATGAAAATATATTTACGCCATACTAATGGTCTTTACACTAGGACAGAATAAAACTATCGAAAGAAATTCGCGTGGATGTGGATGTCAAAGTGGATAGCGATTTCAGGCGAGACGTCTCGATCTTGAATGTGTGAGATGAAATTTGTGACATATTACACTACTCACCAAGTTAATAGTAACGATGAGATCATATTGCTGCCGTTGTCCCTTCTTCTTGTTTTTGCCGGTTTTGACGGAGGCCGCCTTGGGTGTCACTTTCACTTGGCCTTTCTGGGCTGTCGGTTTTTGGGTCGGTTTCGCCGCGCCCTTAGCACCCGGCGCGACCTTCTGACCAGCCGTCGGCGCTTTCTGACCGGAAGCACCTTTTTGGTTTACATGACCCACGCCATCCGCCGGTTTGTTGCGTGCCTGTAGTCCAAGAGACAGAATATCCGTTAATTGTTAGGTATGAGGGATTTTATTGGAGGTAATCAAGTCAGACGGATGTGTTGTAGGTTGGAGTATACATATATTATTATCGGAATAATTAAAGCACGACGTCGAAATTTTCTTCTCTTTGTATTTTTTCCTGTTTGCTACGTTTATAAATTTTGCAAGTAGATTGACGAATTGACGATAACTAGTATTTATAGTAAGTTCTCTTCTTTATTATATAGACTTTTGAAAGTTACCATGAAAGTTATAACTGTATGTTTCAGCATGTAACTTCCATATCTTTTAAATATTTCTAAAGCGCATTGCAATATCGAACTACCAAGATATAATATCTAAATCTCGCTATATTGTATTTTACGTTTATCGTATTTTATGTTTATTGCCGTTATGGTTAATGCCATCGTTTCAGCTTGCCTGTAATCGTCGCGTTGACTCGCTGTATCAAAACCGATTCAATATTTTTGCGAGAGTTATTTTATGTCGGCCCGTTTATATCTTGTGGGCGGAAATTTATATACTACCCGAAAAGTGAGAATAAATTCCGCGAATAGAATAGCAAATCTGTGCGACAGGGAGTACGTTGACTTTTTCGTCAATAACTTGGAAGAAAATAATTCGTTTCGGGATTGAATCGTACGACGAATGTTTAGGACCTAAAAATAACCTCCCCAATTAATAATTGAACGAAGAGACTGGATGCTTCGCGTGGGCGAGAATGCCGACAAGATAATTATAGATTATCTCATTATCTAATGCGATCTTGACAGAGTCTACGACCTATGTGATGTACCCGAATTGCATTGCGAAAGTGTCACGTAATTCATGATTTCTCAAGCTTACGACAATACTACGGAATTTCTACTTTTATGTTCTAGGTACTGAGACAGTCCTCGATACTTACACTTCATATAGGTATTTGTCGATTATCCATAGACGGCTCCCAATTTCAAATAATTTCAACATATTAGAGAATATAAATTCATGCTTTGAAAATCTTTTTTCTTCTATATATTAAAAATTCTTGGAATTAAATATCATAACGTGTTGAATTAAATACTAAATTTATTGTCATAGTGAAAATTTCTACTAGAAAAAGGCATTTTCTGCATTATAAATTAATTCTAGATTTAAGTAACTATTCTAAATTTATGTCTATGCTATATAACAACGTAAATACAAAAATAACTACATAATATCACGATGAATCGAGTTAGAACTAATAATAGCATTCTTTATGAATGAAACAATGATCTAATGTAGCACTAATGTAGCGACCTATAGCGACCGTGAAGCAAAGTATATTCTTGAAAAAGCGGATTAAAGTCTTCAAAAATAAAACAAAATAAATTGCGTGCGGAATGTTTCATTCCAATGTATTAATAATTTGTGCTAAATTTTTAGTTTTATTAAGCTCATTTTAATTGACGTACTGAGCGATATTCTGTACCTTATTAATAAGCAAAGCCCCGAGCCAAGATTAGGTTTATATTTAACTTCTTATACTTGAGTTTATTTTAACTTATCAATTCTCAAAGTCACATTTCCCTCCCGAAATCCACCGAAAATGTTCTCCGAATACTCGTATGAGCTATCTTACATTTTTTATAACAATTTTTTGTGTAAAAAATGTCAGTTTACCTTTTCTCAATTTTATCCTATATCAATACAGAGTATTACAGCAATTAGCACACGCTGCAATTTTCATTTTAATCATACAAGTGTTAACACAGTACACAGAATGTCGCTACAGAGCCCTCCCTCCTCCGTCCCCTTACTCTGATAACAACCTGTAATAACCAGGGTCGCGGTTGTCGCGAGAGATTCGTACGAAAACATGGAAAATGGTCGGCACATCGATCGGTCCGGGCATACGTTGAGCGCGATCGTTCCTTGCGCATGCGACACCACGAACGGATCGATCGCGCGGCTGTGTATCAAATGTGTATCAAAACAAATGCGGGAGCGCATCGTTTGATAGAACACCCGTATGTTTATCGCACGCAGCCCGGGATCGAGAGAACCGTATCGAGGAAGATTGTTAATGCGAATCGCGCTACGCGCGATTATGGGACTCGCGTGCACGGCCATCACGAGAAGGCCCCCGTCCAGAGCTGCTTGTGTTCGCGTACATTGTAATTCTCGTGGTAGCACCTTTCTTGACTATCCGCCCATTTCCACCGAGGCGCAAGCGCGCGTTTCGGAAAATTAAACTGCAACTCGGTCAGATCTGGAGGTATCAATGCACGGCCTTGCACGACTCCAGTATATTTCATATGAGCTTCTGTTCTGATAAAATTGAATACGGCGATAGCTAGGTCGTTTGTTGAAACTGAAATTACACTGGGATCATCAGGTTTCTATAAAATTTCTATAAAATTTCTAAATATAGATGTTTTTATAACTGTATAAGCAGACAAGTCAGTAACACCTATATTTTATTTTTGTATTAACGCAAGTTTTCTTTCTATTAGGAACCATTTAGCTATTGTGGAAGTTATGTCATTGTATATGTCTTAATTATATATAACTCTTTTTTTTAAACGTTTCCTAAAATATGACACGATCGTATCGCCAAGATAATAGATTGTATCGCCATCGAAATCTCTACATATTTTTATTATTGTCATGGTTAATACTATCCTCTCAAATTATTTATAATCGTCGCGTTGATCCGCTGTCGTTTGCCTAATTGATATGCGGTAGATATCCAATGCTGGATTGACAATTCTGAAAACAGGGTTAAGACCAGCGTCTTGAAACTTGTTAATCTCCTTTCGCTACAAGTTGTGCATATCTCGTAATTCCCGTGCAACCACACGATGCTCCCGACGTATACATGCATTTATCTTCTTAATCGAAAACGCCATCAAGAAAGGCCAATATACTTGTTACAACTTGCGTCAAGTGGCAGTCGATCCTCGCTGGAGTTCAAGACTACTCGATGTCTCTCGTATCCGTTGCCGTGTTGTTTGCAAAGCTCGTTTTTTCGCTATTGCAGAGGCAAAAGCTCGCCGTAGGTAGCCTCGCTCCCGGGAGGAAAATTAATAACGATCGCTAATGGGCGCTCACGAAAGTTCGTCGGCGCGGCGCGGGCGGGCGGGGTGTAGAGGCGGATGACTTACTTTCATCCGGTCGATTAGATCGGATGGCGCGTGCATCGTGTCCATTTATCGTCTGTATGCCAGTGCATAGTGTGTCATAGTAACACAGTTACGTACGTATGTACGTTGAGCAGCGACCGCGGAAATGCGGATTTAGGTCGCTAACTGCAGGCGTTTTACATTACGGAATAGTGCGACTAAAGGGGTCGCTGATTAGCCCTTAGGGTCAATCGATTTTACGATTCCCAAATGGAATTTCAATACTCATTATTTACCGTCTACACGCAGAAAATTTTTCTCGTAAATACAAGTATACACGAACAAAGTAAATACCATACTAATCTTGCACGGCTAGGATATAGTCATAATATGCAAAAGATTTCAAGAAAGTATAGGAAAATTTAGAGAGCAAAAAATAAAACTATACGCAGAAGTAAATATTTCCATCAAGTATGGGACTTTCGAGAGCGCGTTTTACTACATTAATTTAAAGACGAATGATTCAATTATATTTTGTTCGATTGTGTCTTATCCCGAATATCGCTGATGAACAAAAAACGAGACGTTTGTTGCAGTCATGTCAAAAAACATAAGTTGAATAAGTTGCCGTTATAGGCTGTGGCGGTCAGCTGTCCGCCACGTGCGAACTTAAGAACGCTATAGGGACCCTGCCGAGCTGCCCTAGATATAAAGGTCGATGTTGAATCTTAATCACGCGAGAATGTACCGGCGATGCGCCGCGTAGCGGGCGCGAGCCGAATCCTCTCGCCGCGCGAGCCCACGTTGCCGCTCGCGCCGCGCGCCTTCCGTCGTCCACGATCGCGGTTACTATCGCATTTCTATAAAGAACATAAACTATTGCCAGATACGCAACGAATATTTCTATACAGTTCACAATAGTTACCATTCTAGATTATATTTTTCCTATACTGTCTTAAAAAACAACGCTCAATCCAAGACATGTGAAGTTGGCAATTCAAGCTACAACGTCGAATATACACATACTAGTATGGGACTTTTTTTACTGTTCTCATATTTCCTTGTTAGTATGGCAAATTTATTTACCTTTAGGTTACAAGATGTGTCTGATCAAACTATTACATTTCTATTGTCATATATTAATTTCCGGTTGAATACGCGTATATCTTACCGGAACCTAGCAAATCTAGTAAATTTTATTATGAGTATTCTACATTATTCGAGAAAAATTTTCTGCGTGTATGTCGTCCCGCGACGTATGTAGATCGAAAAACAGAAAACGATATTAAATGTCAGACATGTGGCGTTGAATAAGCCGAGAGAATAATTCCGTACAATTATATAAAATATGCTAACCACATTGTTAAGAATAAAAAAAGAATAATTAATAACGCTGGTATATATATATATATATATATATATATATATATATATATATATGAGAGCGCTGGAAGCTTATGTAAGCGATAAAGCTCATTTGCATATTAGAGAGAAAATATGAAAGCATAAAGCGTAAGAACTATTCCATGCCTTAGTTATGTTTTGCATGTTCAGTTTACATATATTGATAAGTTTCTGCTGACGTCAAACAACACTTTTATAACTAATTCATGTTTAATTTTTATACTTTGATGCATTTTGGGAAAATGATCTCTTACTCGAATATTATTAATATATCAGTAGGCACACCGCCTGTGGTGTGTTGATGCTCTTTGATAAAATAACAATTAGTTTGGATTTTTATCAAACTCCTCATCAATTAACGCTTTGCGTATTGATATCCTCACTATTCATCATTGGTATCCATTTATAAATATCAATTTAAACGTCAATCAGAATACTACAGAATTTGTCGAAACAGATTGGCACAGTGAGAAGTTTTTAACAAGTATTTACAAACCCATTTATCACCGGACTTGTTTCCGTCATCTTGATATCACTGTCCAATTAGATAAAATCTCGAGTGCTCTTATATGTACATCGACGAGCTTTTTAGCATTGTTGTAAGGTTGAAAAATGAGTTCCTCAAACTTTTTTTCAAAGGCCACGAGACACTGTTAACTTTTTTCTAAAAAGAAACAAGAGTCGCGCAAAGTGAACTCGCGTGCCGCACGTTTTAGAGCTTTATCTTGATCGTTGCCTTTCTTAGGTAACGTTATGATATGCACGCTCTGTTTTCTTTCGGCTATGCAGCTATAGCTTTGTCTCGCTCCGTTGCATTATTTTCTTCTTTGAAAAAGTGATAATACCGCAGCTATGGGTGCAGAAAATGGTTCTTATGTTATCACGAGATATACACAGTTTATCTTGTCATATTTTGTAGCTGAATACATCCTCTTATATTATCAACATTATATACCACAGTACCTATTGCGAAGATACGCGATATTTTTGAAGGATGAACACGTAGTATTTGTATAATGCCGGGTTTCTATGTGAAATATGCTTTCTATTGTAAAATATTATTATCTGATTGCAAGTGTTATCGATCTATCGAATATGATCGTACCGATATAAATAAAAGAAGACTATTAAGAATAATTTTATCAAGAATAATTTATTATATAGTATATCGATCAAACGTTAACTCGATCTGTTAGTGACCTGGTTACTAGTTTCATGCGTGACAGTCTTAACGTGACCTTTTTTGTGACATTTACATGCATCAAGTAAAGCGCAGCTGCATCGTCACAAGAAATTAAATAATTATATATTAGTTTTTTTTTTCAAGGAAAAGAAATCTGTTTTTTTAATAATGGACATTTAACTCGACTAGATTTTTTCGCACGCAGTTTCATCTATAAAAATAACATTCAATTACGATTAGTTCAATTATATATAAACATTGTTCAAAATATTAATAATATAATTAATAATCGTTAAACTTTTCAATCTCTCTGATTTGGTTAAACAGTGATGAAAAACTCTATCGGTGATAAATATATTCTATTAGCGACATATCGTCCAATCAAGATTCCGTCGATTAAAATGTCCTCTTTGGCTGCGTGACCGCATAGACGTGCATTGTAAGATGTTATTTCTCGTCTCGAATATTTCACCCACTCAAGTTTTGCTCGGAGTGTTTGCGAGCGAGACCCGGAAACCTCTTTCGAAAGATCAATAATTGGGGATGATTGCAGCTGCCCTTGAAACGCTATACTTTGCGAAACACTGGAGCATTATAAACCAAATAAAAATAACGGTGATTGCCGTTGCAAAAGTGCAGTATCGGGTACGGCTTTCATCAATTCCATTTATACAATATTCCCAGTCGTAGAGCTTCCGCATATTCAATAAGTCGTGTTTTTCGCATACGACTATCTCATTTTAATTGTAAATTTTGAGGAATTTTTTGATAATAGCAATAGATAGATAATGATTTGATAAAAATTAGCTGACATAAACTGCGTATTATGACGAATACACGCGTGATTATTACACAGCAAAATAAAATGGAATTTTTTTTTAGTTCTCTCTTAATATGCTCCAAGATATTCGAGAACAAATTTCCACCGAAACTGCGAACCTTTGTTGAAATTGCGAAGCCATTGATGGCCTAGATTTTCCAGATTGAATAATGTCTCCTGCGGTAAGATTTACGAGCACGAACCGCGATTTCAGGCCACGAGATGACTAATCGGAGAAGTATCGCAAGAACAAATTCGCTGCTCAATTTGTCATATGCAGAAACAATTCTGTAGAACCGGGAGAAAGCGCTTGTCCTTGAAATGTGTCACTGCACTTCCCGTGCAAGGTCTAGAACCGGCTGATTAATAATTAAATCAAATAACGCAGCCGCTGCAGCGGCGAGCGGGGGCGTCGTGGTCAAAGGCATCGATCCCTATTCTCGATTCTAGACCATGCCCGACGTTAGCACGAGGTAATGCTCCACCACGCCGTTCCGATACTCCGTTCCGTGACGATCTCTCGTTTGTCCTCGTGACGAACGTGAACGATTAATCTTTGCTAAGCATTAAGGGTGCGCCAGATTTAGGAATCATTCGAGACGCCGCGAGAATGCGTACGCCTTTTAAATCCCTACTATAATTGCGATCGTTCTCGAAATGCCTATCTTTGAAATGAGATTTCAAAGGAGGCCCGATAGGCTGTACGTGATTATTTTTCAAACAACCTCAATCTACTTTCGTTTTTACTTTTATCTTCTTTTGACAGCACGCCCTGAACGAAATATTACAATTACATCATTACAATAGACAACGTCGGATTAGTAGAAACGCAATATATTAAACTACGTGACGGAGAATTCCATTGCTAAATCTCGCAGCGTTAACTTTTGAGGATTTCTTTTCTCTCGCTTACTTTTCTTTTGAAAAGCACTCTTTGGAGCCAGAAAGGCGACGTTAAAATGTGCGAGAAGCAGTGATTTAAAAAAGTTATTCGTCCGAGTGTTTTCTTTCCACGAACAGTTCTGTTGCATTTACTTGGACCTCTTCATTCATTTTTCAACAATTTAACGGCCTAATAAACGTACCGTTAAATCCTTTTGCTGCACAATCTCGCTTAAATCACATAATATTAATCCCAAAGAGATTTTCTTTATTCCTCGTTCGCTTTCTCATTTTACTTTTATAGTCTTTAGAGCTACAGAAGGAGAGAGGGAGGTAATTTATGTTTGAACTTACAAAAAGCAGTAACGATTTTTCCCGCGTGTTCATTCTTTCGAAAAACAGTCCTTGACCTACGGGTTGGATATACAAGGGTCCACGCAAAATTTCCCGCTCAACTCCAGTTAATGCATCAATCGTGACGACAATAGACGTAATCAAGTAAACGATCGCTTATTTATTTACCGATAATAACATTAATTCTGCATGCATATTGCTCGTATTAAGCTTCCTACACTTATTACAGCCTGTTTCCTACCGCGTGTTACTACCGCGTAATATCGTTTTTCAATTGAATAAATTATCTGTCCTCTTTTAAAGAACCATCCAAGTTCCACAATAATATCGTAAAAAAACTTTCAAGCTTATCATGGATAAAAAAATGCGAATAATGCTTTATTCAACATTATCCTCAATATTTCATTAGTTTTCATTCATTGAAAACACAAAAACTTATACAAGCATCGTATTTTCAAAATTGTTTACGGTAAAAATAAGCTTATATACGCTAGAGTCAACAGCTGTTCAATAAAATTATAAATATTGAATGAAGATATTTGTGACAAACGCGTATATTAAAGTATATTTTTCTTTTGCTCTTTCAAAATATATAAATATTAGTTCAGTTTGTCCTGAGAATTTTATTCTCAGCATTTATAGATAATCGATCCGCTCCAGTCAAGTGCCGATTAAATTCGTCCTTATGGTATATGCGCACTTTAGTTTTATCCAAAAAGCAACATATCCGTTTACGAACATTGCGAAAAACGCGCTACGTAATCGTGCACAAAAAAATGCCGCAATATTCTAGCGTTTTTTATTGGCATGCAGAACTGGTGCGCAGTCATTGCACATTAAAGCCGTTGTACACTGATTTAAAGTAAGATGCAAATATTTTGACTGATAAAATATCCAGTATATATTTTGCTAAATAGTGCAATAAAGAATATTGAGGATTTCGTGATTTAACCCATTTATATTAAACATACACTTTACGTTAATTTGTGTACGACGGCTTTAATGTGCACTGAATGCGCACCAATTCTGCCAATGAAAAACGCTATTAGAGTCACAGCATGCCAAGCGCGCGCGATAAAACGTTAGCGCAGGGGAAAGCACGGGATCAAAAGAGCGAGTTTGATCGGGATAAAAAGAGCGTGTAATTAAGAACGACGAAAGCACGGAAGTGTGTCGAAAAAATGCGGTTTTAACGAGACCGAGTTGCATAAATGTCGAGATAAATGCACTCATTAGCGGGTCGCTTCTCGACATATTCGTGTCGACACGTTCGCGCGCGCCGCACAAGAACATAGAGTTTCCCGACGCGAGTTCCTTTTTTTCTGTCTCTCTCTCTCTCTTTCTTTTTCCCCGCGAGGCATTTCTACTGTAATTGCGGTAGTCCACTATCCTGAGTCTCCCGTGATATGCTTACTGTTCCGTTTTCCACGGAAACTTTGCGGAAAGAGGAAACGAGACGGGGCAAAAGTACAGGACATGCATTTCTACGCGCGATCTCATTTGTCGTCGGCGAAAATCCCGGAAGGAAATGCGGTGTATAATTGCGTACTTTATTATGTCCTCGTCTACTTTTATTTTGAACCGTTCAATTAAGAGTCGCGTCGCTGAACGACACAGCATAGTAACGAAATTATGGCCGAGCCGATTACGTTGCTATCGGAAACGTTATCGGAAATACGCCGAGAAGTGTATATATCAGACGTTCGTATAGAGGAGAATTGCAGGACCTGAATCGAAATTCGTGGAATACGCGACAACGCGATCTGTCACGTTTCGAATGTTGTTTATTGGCGCGAGAGAGAGAGAGAGAGTGAGCAGTGTTGTAACAGGTTGGCACTGCAAAGGAGATTACCGAAAGCTCGCGATGCCTCTTGTTGTAACCACATCGAATTGTGATGTCCATGAGCGACAAATCGTACAAATCGTTTCATTCGCCCTATACGTCCAAATAAGGATGCGAAAGAGGAATTCGTGCGATCTCGTTTTGATGTCACAATCCGATTATTGGCTACCATATGGACCAGATAATGGACCAGAAATCGTCAATGAAACAATTTGCAGACCAATGCCGAGCGTTTTAGCGAAATGCGCGTGCTCTACGCCTCTACGCATGAGCAATGGTATCTATGTTTCTAATAATGAGCAAGTAATAAATGATTGATTATATCTAGCTAAATAGCTAGTGACTAATCTCTCAACTAGATCTGGATTATTATCTTGGTATATACCTGGCTCAGGCTTCTAAAGCTACTTGTGCTGGCGCTGCGAGCCTGCAAACACAAGTACAGTATAGGTCACCAATTACCACGCCACTGTAGTTGGAAAAGTATAGATAAAGATATGGTATGACACTGACGACACTACGGATACGGTGTGTTAGTTAACGGTGCGGCGCACAAGTGTGATTCATATAAAAGGGATAGAAGTAATGCGTTTCGTAAATGTCAGATAGAACGGAACTCGCGCTCGGTATGTGAATAACGTGTACTGTAAGGAAAGTCTTTGTACACCTATTGCGTGACAAAAATCTATTTCAAGCTAGAAAAATAACAAAGTTCAAACTGACATCTGTAACTGACATCGACGACTCTTTCGAATAATAACATCGAAATCGCTAGATACTACACTTGAAATCGAAAAAGTGTACGGTTTGAAAAAAAAATCGCGATTATATGAAAAATTAAAAATACATTCCGTAAACAACGTATGCATATGAGTAGGTACAGATAATAATTATGATGTACATGTATATTTACATATCGAAAATATACGTACAACGCATTAGCAGTGCCATTGAGGGTTATGACAGCGGAGCGTGAGTTATTAGCGTGAGCTATGTGATTATCTTATCATAATCTTTTACGAGTGATCATTTGCATGTACAATTAGCATTTGTCAAGAACTTAATTTGATATTTAAGTTGCGACACATCAAATTGTTAACTCGCAAATTACGTGTATCAATTAATCAGACTATTTTTTTCTAACAAGCGGATTGTTAGCTCTCGTAATTTTGTAAACATATTTTATTTACATTTTGTCTGTTTCCAAATTGCATAAAAAATTATGAATAATAAATCTAATGTAATGAATGTCGCTAAATAGAAACGAGAAAACTTTACAGTGTATAACGACGCAACAATAATTCCCTACGGTTTTAAAATGGAACAACATTTACAGCTAATGCGTACGCTGTCCGAGTAAAAATATAATTACATTCGCGAGAAACATCACGCGATCTATATTTGGTATATTTACTATTGGACAAAGCTTTTTCCAAAGTTACGCTCGACTTAATTGATGATCGCCTTCGTTCCCGTCTATTGTAAGGAAAAAAAGAGACTATCAAATGGGAAAGCTGTCACGTCAGCCAGTCGTGACGGGTTTACCGAACGAAGTGCGACGCATTGATCGAGCCCCGCTTTTATGTTTCGACGGAACTGTTTCTTTTCTGACACACCCGGCATGACCGTTTACGTCGCGTGCTAAATCGAGACCGACTACTTGTTAACGTGGGATCTACTTTACGTTCTCTCCACAATAGTGCTATGCCATTTCGCCACGAACGAGAGAGAATTCGACTGAATACCGCAATATTTATCGCACTCGTTTAATGATTCTCCATCGTAAAAGAACTAAGGATTTGCTATTCTCATTTTTCTGGATATTAAACCATAAAATAAATACACAAATTGAGGTCATAATAATTGTTGATTCGAATTATAAACAATCAAGTTTGGAATGGTACGATTATTGATATAGTCCGCGTATTTAAACCTATAATTTTGCTTAATTTGTTATTTGTTTTCGATTTTCATAGGTAGCCCTGGTGATATCGATTTTTAATTTTCAGCTTTTGTTTTTTCTTTCTTATGTATGACCACTATACACGCAATAATTAGTTTATATAATAATATATGATGAATCATGTATTATATGCAAATTTAAGTGAATGTACAAGAATAATAAGATGAAATGGTTTCTGCAAAATTAATATAAAATTGATACATAAGAATAGATACAATTAATATCACACATATTAGCATCTATTTTTAAAAATTTTTTAAAATAAATTACAATAAATTATATTATTATATGATTGCAAGACATTTTTTATTTTTTTTATTTATGCTTGTGACAATATATGCACACTAAACATAATTTGAATATTATTTTGTTGTGTCAATTTATAAGGACGGATCTTGTCAGAAGGATATAAATGTAGGCCTCAAATTTTATTTCGAAAATATTTGGGACGAGGAAGGAAAAGAAAATAAAATTAGTAAATATTTTTTTTCATTGTTTTATAGATAACAATCAATTATTGATATTTTTAAATATATGCATACATAGTACCTATATAAAAGTATATCTTTTATTCTTTTTCTTCTCTTCAATTTTTCGTCTATTCTCATTTCGAGATATGGATAGGTATTCGATATAAAAGAATTTGAGTAAAAACTTTAACAATTAATTATTGTGCGCATAAAATACAATTATTTATGACTAATTCCACTATTATTAATCCGCGTTATTAAGGCGCGATATGACAAACCTTAGGTGCAAATAAACATTATGTTGTACATACAATGGCAGAGCATAAATATAACTGGACTCTGTCATTGCAATAAAAAAAGTTTTAAAATAATTTTAACAATTTTATTAGTATAATTTCGGTTTGAGGACTAAACTTAATTTAAAATATTCTAAAATTTTCGTGTTAGGTTATTACGGCTTAAACTCTAAGAAGATTACTTGGGATTTAATTAATCCCATCTTAATAATCGTGCTACGTTATTTTTGTGCTAAGTAAATTTTTATTTTAGTAATGCCGGTTTAATGATTAAAATAGAAATTAGATGGTCTTTTCCTGCCGAACCGTCGGTCGTGTCGGGTCCACGTCGCGTATCCGAGTGATCCGTGAATAATACCCTTGCAAAGAGAGTGAAAAGGTGCACGAGCAATGTCAAACGGACATTGCCAAAATTTAAAGTCATTAACGCGCACCTTTATCGCGAAGTCGTTGACTTACTCACGGCGACGATAGTTCCTTCAGATAGTAGGTACGTGAGGAAAACGACGCCAGAGAATATACATAATAACGCTACCGGTGCGGTAGCTGATATCGCATGCGGATCACGTGAGATGTAAAGTAAACAGATCGTTTTTTGTACTAAGGTAATTAATTTCGCGGAACAATCGTCGCGAAATACATACACCGAAACTTGCTTCTATTTCGTCGAGCGTCGAAGCACGTGTTGGATTTTTTAGGTATAATACGCGGGATTGTGATTGAGATATCGCGCAGTTTTTCAATTAAAAATTGATATTGCGAAGCTGATAAATGTTACGCAGACTTTAATTATCGGAGAAAAGAATTTGTGGTCGTTTAATAACACGTTATGCAACCGTGCATAAAAAGATTTATTCAAAATTCCTCGATATAAAGTATTAATTAATCTGAAAGGGTGGACTTACGTGTAATACTTAATGACATTCTAAACTATATTGAAAAGTAGATATTATTTCTAAAAAGAAATAGGATGTTACTTTAAATTAATACATGCTTTTTTACGATTTAATTGTCAATGGATTAGATATAAAATTATTTTGACGAATTGACAATGGACACAGTTAGAATCAGTATTTTTTTTGCAGGTGTAAGAATTTTGAAAGTGTATTTAGGAATTTTCTTATATATAATAAAAATTTGTTGGAAGTCCAGCAAACGGTTAAGATAGAATTTGAATACTGCAAGGTTTCTAAGAGCCCAAAGCAATAATTAATGCAGAATATAAATGACACATAAATCTTTCCATCCATATAAATCGTTCTATAGATTCATCTTTATAGATCGAAATAAGATCTTGACGAAGAAAATCGAAAAATAAAATCACAGTTTTAATGCTCCGATCCTTCGCCTTCGTATAAGATAAATAGTCGATTACGCTGTCCGCATGAATTTATTGCAAATTCAAAGAAAAAGTTCAAGAAAAAATAAATACACATAATTCACAGTTGGAAGGGCGGCAGTGTGGTCTAGTGGTAGAGCGCCAGACTCGTAATCTGAGGAACCAGGTTCGAGTCCACTAGAGCCATGGAATGTTTTTCCGAAAGCTGCACCCCTCCGTGCAAGATTCAGGCCCTTGTGCGGAGCAAACTGGGCTCCGTCTTTCGGAAAGAGACGTTAAGCCGTTGGTCCAAAGGGTTAAAGTGAGAGGGGAAGGATAGTATTGGTAGTAGATTGTGAACCCTACGGGGATATGCAATAATATTGTAAAGTTAGCGTGAAAATTTAGCGAATTCACAGTTGGCATACGCATAAAGGAGAAGAAAAGAGTTTTCCGACGACGAAAGTGCAATGATATCGGCCAAGGTTTACATACGCACGCACGTTGCTCTGAAGTTCCATCAAAATTGCATAACTTGTTCTGTCAACATTTTGAGACATTTTCCCGATATACGCTAGGATTGAATGATTTTGTAACATTCAACAGTAAAAGAATTAACCATTTTACGCGCAAATTTAAATGAATAATGTCAGATTATCAATAAATATAGATGTGAATAGACTATGAAAAATTAACAATCAGTTATAACACATTTGACTATAATTGCTCAAACATTCTTAATATGCATGTCATATTCTCATGTTGTTTTCCAGAGCGTTTCCTGATTAATTAATCTTATTTCTGTAGATCAATTAATCTTATTTCTGTAGAGTGCTTAATGAACAGACAAGGGATAATATCACATACACTATCATATCATTGTTTACTTTTAATTAAGCATCACTTCTTACTCTACCTGTAAAATATCTCTCATTATGTTACGTATTATTTTATGTATGGGCGTGTATTTTCATATGCACAACAGACAAAATTATATTTCAATTATATTTTATATCGTATATTTTATTTTAATATTGATAATAATTAATCTAAGCCACATTTGTGTCCCTTTTGAAATAAAAAATGATCGCCAAATGGCGCCCAGATTGCTCGAGAATCGGTGATGCGAGTTAAATCGTTTTTCTTTCGATGTCTATGCGGTATCCACGAAATAAGAACCGCTGCGGCTTCCTTCGAAGCCTTTCCCTTCGCGCGCAAATCACGCGTCTCTGGTGAATTTCAGGCCGCTCGATTATGGAGCGCGATACATAAATGATGAAACAGAATCAGTCTGATATACATAATTTGTATGCGGTTTTACCTTGCTTCTATTTCGCGGTGCGAAGTCCTCTTTGCTAGCTTTCCTGCGCTTGTCCTTGAGGATCATCCTCGCCGCGGCGAACGCCATCTTGTCGTCGGCGCACTTTCTCGACGGTCCCGGTGAAATAAGCGTAAACTCGTCGATTGGCTTAGCGACTAACGAGCTCTTTCGAACACAGTGTGACAGGAATCACCGATCCGACAGCGTATAACACGGGTAATATTCTTTTTATTGCTCTTATTGCTTGTCGATCGACACGCCCGCGTGCGCGCGCTTATAATTACGTATGCGTATCACAATATTTAAATATATTTCGCTCGTTTCGCCTGTATACTTGTGCGCTCGTATGCATTTACCTGTGTACGTACGTACGTACGGTAATATATGCGAAGGCTATGCTACAACGTGGCGTCGTGATCACACCATTCGTTCTATCGCGACCCTTATCCTTTAATTACCGCCGCGTCGTATCGTAATCGTCGTCATCGTTCCCGTTCCCGTTCTCGCCGTCGTAGTCGTCAGAGTCGCCGTCGCAACCTTGTCTCTCGACCTCGATCTATTCCCTTTAACGTATCTCTATTCTCGGCAGGTATTCCCGCTTCCGGTATATTTCGTCTAAACTCAGTTCAGTTGACCCGAGACGACACGCAACGAACGCTGAACACTATCGATTACGTTCTAGACGCTTGGATGCGGACACAGCCAACGATTGTGAACTGCATCGTCGTAGTAGCCTGCGAGCCCGATGGTGCTCACTTCATCGCGACGGTCCGATCGGTAGTACCGGAAGCGTACCGGCGATGATCACCGGCGTCGTATTCCTGCCGGCGATTTCTCTCGGGTTTACTGCTCGACGGCGGAATTTCGCGAAAGCTCGTCGAGAACATTTGTCCCGCCGTAACGTGATGGATACGCGCCCCCGGATCGACACTGCCGTTTTCGTTTTCGTTTCCGTTCAATTCGGCTCTGTTCGGCTCGGTTCCGCTCCGCTCGCGAGGATGCGACGACGATTTCGCACGGTTCTGGTGTTCCTTGCGATTTCTCGCGATTATGGTGCGCCTTTGCGTCTTGCGTCGATCAGGCGATAATTATCCTAATTACGACCATCGATCTAGAAAGAAAGAGATAAAGGAGTGGGTGGTTCGTAGTCTGCAATGCTTTCGCGCGCGGTCTACATCCTACACGCGAGACTCGCATAATTAATCGCGTTAGTGGCAACTCGTTTCCCGAGGAGGAGTCGATCGGAAGTTGATAGATCGATGGAAAGTGTTAAGAGGGATTCATATTTTCGGCATGAAATAAAGATACTATGGATCAGAGCCGTTAGCAATTAAAATTGTCTAGCAATGCCATTTATAGCACAAAAATATACTGAAATTCAGGAACATACGGATATTTAAAAAAATGAAATGAAATATTCTTCTGTTGATCAGGCGTAGAACAAAAATCTTTAAATTCGCGTAGGAATTACGAGAAATAAAGATAAACATTAAACAGAATAATAAATTTCTTTCGCCAGTATATAGAATAACAATTAAAGTAATTTAAATCGACCTGACTGGCAATATATATAACGTCTTTCCGATATGAACATTGAAAAACTGTGTGCCAACTTGGTTTGTCGGATTCACAAAGCACTTTTTTGTCGATATTGATCTGAAAAAAGTGCTGTGTGAATCCGACAAACTAAGTTGGCTCACAATTTTTCAATGTTCATATCGGAAAAACGTTATATATATTGCCAGTCAGGTCGATTTCAATTACTTTAATTGATAAACATTAAACTTGATCAATAAATATTAAAACATTCTAACTTCATTATTTGTTAAAATTTTTAAGAATAAGTATTTTGACTTTTTTTAAGAATAGCTCCAAGTGCAAAATTGGTGAACAAAGTTTGAAGGACGTAAACTGAAAAAATTGGAGAACGAAAAACTCGCTTTCAATTTATTTCAATGGCAATATTATTTTAATATAGACTATATAGAGATATCACTCTGATATTTGATCTTTGATTGTCACTCTGTGTATTTCATCTCTCTGCGAAGAGACTTTTATTCGCAATACAAAAATGCATGTTAAATCCTCGTCGACTCAAATGTTCCGCGAATGCATCATTCCGAGCGAAACTCGCGCGATGATGCATGCCGCGAAATTCCACGCTCATGCAACGCGATAATGCAACGTATCATGAAATCAGTTACTCCGCTTGTGTGCTTGCCACTGCTCGCACTTCGCTGTCGCCGTCGTTGTTCCGTTCGCACTCATGCGTTTCTCTACCCGCCTAGAGGAGAGAGAAAACCTTGAGAGCTCACGTGCACCCCTGTGTCGTTAATATTTCAGGGTTATCGGACAGTACGACGTCGCACTGCCAGCAGCATGCATTTCGCGCGACCGACACGCGTTTATATCGCCGCAATGCTCCGATCGGAAAATCTCCGTCATGTATCCGTTGATCCATGACAAAGCCGGTTTGCTACGGCTGCGGACGGACGTTTAGTTAAGTATTTCATTACGCCTGACATGAACGGCTTTCCATGCAGGAGAGAAAACTGAGGGGCAAACTTTTAAAAGTTTCTTTTCTGGGGAGAAGATATTTTGCGCTGTAAAAATAATTCACGAAACAGTAATGTATAATCTCCAATTTATGCGGAAATGTATTTGCACATTCGAGAAATGGATTTGAACTACAAAGCGTCCTAAATCCACTATCTCTCCATTTAATGGTACATTCTTTGAATTTAAAGTCGACCTTTTCTACGAGACTTTGAAATTGTCAGTATAAACTATTTTAAGGGCGTAATTAGATTTAAAATTATATTTCTGTAGAAGCAAATTTCATTTGAGATAAACTGAAAGATTTTTTGTTCTCCAACTTCTTCAGAGTCTACGTCCTTGAAACTTTGTTCGTCAATTCTGCGTTCGAAGCTTGAAGTTTCAAGGATATTTACTCTTGAAAATTTCAGCGAATAATGACGTCTCATTAAATTTGTGCTAATAAAAGAAATCGATTCTATATGTTTACATACGTCATTTAGCATACAGTAGAATTTGCATGCGCATGATATCGATAAAACGATGAATTTTTATTATATTGAGATTCGATTGAAATGAAGATAACGAAATTTCCAATCTAATTCAATTTATAAAATAAAGTTTATTGTTTCACTTGTATAAAGCTAGCGGAACGAGCGGTCGTTGTGAGATATATATATTGAAATAATCCAGAGAGATCTGAGCGTGTAAAAACAAAATGCTGAAACTGCGTATCCACGTTCGGACGCTGCACGCGGATTCCTGAAAATACGTATTTCCAACGTAATCGAATTTTCTCCATTGCCATGATATGCCAAGTACGTGAATTTTTCTGGATGGCAAGCTGTTGTCCTAAAAAGATAAGGAGAAATCCCACCGAGAGAATCGGAGAAGTTGAGACATCGCGGTACGATACCGAGGATACCGACGCTAAGCATCAATAGACAGGAAATCATTTTACATTTTCCCCCTCCCCCCCTTTCTCTGCGAACGAACTTCTCGTCACTCTTGCAAATCGAAAACGTTCAATTCCTCGTGCTCCTCGACCCATCTTCGCTACTCTCGTGGGAACTTGGCGTACGAGTAGTATTGATCATCCCCAGGCTGCAGCCCCTTCTTCCCTTCCCGCCACCCCGGCCCCCGGCGTCCTCCGACCATCATTCCGCGTCCTCCGACCTCCGATCTCTGACCTCCGACCTCTGTACCTAAATCTAACTCTCCCTCCCCCCCTCTGCATCGCGCCCCTCTGTCCTTGCCGCCGGGCTTTCGGCGTTGCGATATCACGTTTGATGCACTTTTTCATTGGAAATCTGCATCTCTCCATGTCGCTAAGTCAGAGTTTGGAAAGAGAGACGTATAAAAATTTTTTAAAACATACCAAATAGAATATTTTACAGTATTATTTACAATAGAAACAAATTTGCTTTACAACTCGACTTTGATTAAAATTAATCAATCGAAAATCAAATAGTCATTTTTGAACTTGATAATAGCTATTTATTACATCAAAAATCACAAAAAGATTGTAATATAATGATATTATTAGAACATTAAATGCAAGAAACTAATGTGCATTACCGGAACAATTCAAGAGATGGAAAGTTTCCAACGGTTAGCTATAATATTAATAATATAGCCTCTGTCGAGTGAATCGACTTTTTTCGGACGATTAGGTGGTACACAGACAAAGTCCACTATGTACCAAATTTACACCTGTTGCCGATAATATCCCACAAAGAAACTGCATTCCCATCATGACTTTTAGACGCGTTAGATCGCTGATCACAGTTTAATATCGCGATCAGCAACGCATTATCTCGCACGGCGACTATCCCGTGACTCGGGCAATGCTTTACAGAATATTTACATCCAGGTGGAAAACAGAAATGTGCATGCGTATGCGCGCACGTAAGTGCGCGCGCACAATTATCCAGGTTCACGTCCTACTTACGATATCGAACTGCACGAGAGTTGGCCGGCCCGCAAAACGTTTCTGCCATTGACCGTTCACTCGCGATTACGAATTGCAATGCCCTACTATATTACTCCACATCACTGCCCTAGATAATATCAACCACGTCTCTCAATAGCATAAATTCTCTAATATTGTGTACAACAAGTCTTTATTCTGAAATGTTTTTTAACATGGAGACACACAGCTATTTAAATTTATTAAATTTGATTATGTTACGCTATTACATATTACGTGGTACGAATATGTATGCAAATAGTACCATAGATATGCAGTTCAGAAAAACAAGTATCTGCTGTCTGATGTCTAACATCTAAAAATTGTGGTAAATTAATATAACTCAGAAATTACAAGTCTTGTAATGTCTCGTTCGTTATAGGTATATGTACTAAATATTATACTAAAATTATAATTATTAGCTATTGTGAACAAAATAAGCTAATGCACAATGAAAAAATTAAGAAATCGATTGTTATTTAAAGTAAAACCACCATTATTTGTATCTATTATTATTCTCTTTCTTTAAATTGTTTTTTAAAAAATTATTTATTTTTCTCAAATTTGGAAGATATGAATATAAACGTCATTCGAGAAGAATACCAGGTACCTATTTTCGAGTCAATTCGCGATATTTTTTTCTTGCAGTACGTGAAAAACGCGATAAATTTTCCACGAATACATGCGAATATTTGCAAGATTGATCGAATATTAAATGAAACTGCGGGCTCGAATTCTCGGATATAGAAAGTAGAATTTTGCTATTTGTCGCTTCAGTTAACCGCTGAAAAGTATACCGAGAAATTCCATTTATTTGCATGCCCTTTGAACGGATGTCTGTCAACGCGCATTTCTTTTCCCGGTCATTATTTCACCATTTATTCGTACGATAGATGGAAAACGGTCAACGTAAAATTTATCATTCACTGCAGCGACGTTGAGTATCGTTGTGATCAATCAGTGATTAATCGAATTGAAATTCGCATTATCGCATTCAGATTAAGAACTCGAATTATTTCCGCGATAGTACACAAAAACGATATTATTTGTTACCGTGATACAGGCAAAAAACGATACATCAATTTAAAAAAGGAAAAAGACTATAAAATATCTTAACGGCACCAATGAACTGAGAGAAATACAAAAGGGCGTCCAATCGCTTGTAAAGCTGCTCATCAATAACGAACAACAAAATTCTCATTCAACAAAGCTCAATTATAAACTACGAACGATTGTTTTTGAATAAACGAATTAACGAACAAAATTTAAACAATAAAAAAGGTACGATACAACGTATGTAGCTATTTAATCGTCATTAAAATACAAAAAAGCAATTTAAATCATTTTTGGTATAATAAAATATGTTACGTGATAAAACTGTATAATTTTAGTGATAAGAGAAATTATGTAATCGGAAATTCTTTCAAAAATATCCGCTGAACATTGAATATCTCGAACATATATATTTTCGTAATTATGTAATATAAATTATATTATTACGAAAATATGTTTAAGGTATACAATGTTTTCACAAAAGGTTTCTCTTTATTATTTTAGTTAACAGTTATAGTAGTAATGTATATTTTAGTTTATCTTTTCTGTTATTAATTCAAATATTAATTTTGTAGTTAAACGACAGAAAATATAATTAAATCTTCGTTTATATTATATTATCAATTACTATCACCTAAGTTTGCATCGACTAGAAACAATATTTTGTATAAAATTTAATTCATTTTGTGTGACAAAATGGCAGGAATTTAATGGTCGCGACAAATAAAAATTAGTTTTTCCATTAGTTGTTCACGCATTTCTAGAATTTTTAGATGTGGTACAATCGTATGTAATTTAGTTAATTACCATTTCGCTGTACGCGACGTGCATGTTATGTAATTCAGTTTAACGCTCTTTAACAACATGAAAGTTTCATATTTCGCACTAGCCTTGAATTTTCATAGTTTTTACCCAAACAACGATGTTCGTAAGTAGTAAAGTTACTCGCAATATAGTAAAGTTCTCATTACGATAATGTAGCTTCTCTATTTTCGTGGTTTTATATATACGCTGTACGCCGGGAAACGCTCCAATTTATCGTCATTACTCTTGAATGAGCAAAAAACTAGATATTCCGAAAAATCAGAACTTACGCTCGTTAAAATCCTCAAAGCTCATTCTGAAATAAAAATCTCGTTACATTGATAATTTTCAGGTCACAATTAAGCGTGGATTTGAATGATAATGAAATATGAGTTTTTACTCGAAAGAGAATCACACGATCTTATTTAAAATACGTTTATCCGAAATATCATATATAAAGTTTTATCAATTATTCTATTAGAGTAATAAGACCTTGACTCTATAATTCTTAATTAACAAGCGTAATTATTTAATATGTATGATTAGATCGCAAAGGCTATTAATTAATAACCCAGACGACACGCAAATCGTTTTATCAAAATCACACATACACATGGTTAAGCAATTAAAAAAAAACATAATACAAAAAAGTTTGCTAGAAAATGCCATTTCTTATGTATTCTGTGCTCAATATATCTTATTTCTTCTTTTCTCTTTAAATTTGTATATATACAACATAATTTGTGTAAAATATAACAAAAATGAATATACTATAAAAAAGATCTATTGCGCGAAAATGTGCGTATGGCAAATTTCAAACATATAACTCTACCTTCATATTATATAAGAATTATGAATAGTGAATTTCTCTTTTAAGAGTCCCTCGTGAAAATATGAAACTAAACTCGTCTATACTTCATGAGCCGGCTATTATTCCAGAGTGCATCGTACGAATGCAAATTTTGCGGATATGTCTTGCTCGTTTCTATCCTAAGCATCGTATTTAACGACAATAATATCGTCTAATATACCTTAAACTTTTTTTCCAATTTGTATGAAATGTTTCCGTCACGAAACTCGAGATTCGCGAACAGCATTATAATCTGCTAAGATAAATAAATATAGAATTATTGTTCTAAACACATTTGCATTATCATGAGTGGCATTTTGTTAATTTTTAACATGTAATTTTAAAATGTGTAATTAATAATAGAAAGTATTATCTCGAAGAAGATGCACCTTAGTTGCCTAAACTATCAAACCAACATTATCCGAAAACTAATCTTACATCGAGAAAACAACCATCGAAAAGACACAGAGAGAAATTATGAGCAATATGTAGTACTCAGATTAGTGAAAAAATGGTACCGTCTAGAGCAGTGTGAAATCTGTATGAAAATCTTGCAGAAGAATGATTTATCCCTTATTTAAAACATCATTCCTAGCGACAACACCTAGAATGAAAAGATACACATAATAGGGCAAGCGTGAAGAGGTGAAGAGGAAAGAGTAGTCAGAAGGAGAGACAGGAACGGACACCGTGCTCCTCACGAAACAACTCACTGACCACTCGGCGAAGGTACGCGATCGGCTCGTCCGGCGGAAACGAGTTGCCGGTCGCCGACGACCGTAAGAACACTCGCAATCCACGGATCTCCCGCGATCGTCCTCGAGGCGGGCCGACGACGGGGCTGGCGCCGTCGATGGTATTCGTGCCTGATAACCGCCATTTTTGAGGAAATCACAAATAATCGCCGGCGGACTCGGCGAACTCCGCGGCCGCGGTCCGGCGTCGCGGAAGCAAAAACCGTCGTCGTCGCGCCGTCGACGTTTCCCTGGCGTAATAATCGGATCGCCGCGAGGCGCGTCGCATCGCGTCGCGTCGCGTTGCGACGCGCGAGCAAACGTGCAATTGCAGCGAGTCATTCCATTCATAAACGATAACGATTACCGTGCGTCCTGCGAACTTACGTGCTCGTCGCTGAGCAAATGGTCTGTGACTGACACCCTCGATCCACCACGCGCCCTCGCGCAGCCAATGCTGCACGAATTCCAGGCGGTCGCTCGCGCGCAGGTCCATGCACCCGCACCCGCACCCGCACCCGCACCCTCGCCCTCGCCCGCACTGTGCACCCGCATACGATAGTCCTTTCTTCGTTACTCCTGCCGATTCTTCGCTTCCCCTTTATATCTCTTTACTTCTTTCATTCCACAAGATTGGTACCGAGAGCCCTACATTTTTATCTCGTGCTAGCTAAACTTTCGCTCGTGTGGCCTATTTCGGTTTATACTACTAAAGCTCCATTCTCTAATCTCTCGAGATCTTTAGATTTCCTTCCCTCACAAAATCGTAAATATTTATAATAAGATACGATACAATAAAATCGTCTCTCACAACATATCTAAATAAAATTTCCTTTTACCTCTGAAGAATTATTTGTATATTTCTATCTCGGTGATTTATTTATTATTTGACGGATTGATACTAGAAAGACCTCCTGGTATTTCAATATTTTTCTATTATTAGCTGCGTCTTTTCTTCCACGTCTTCTTCTCTGAGTACAATTTCTCAGCTACTTCGTCGTAAATCTTTTTCTTACTTTTTATGCAGCGAACCAGCGTCGATGTAATGGAACGCCTCTTGTTGTACTCCATCTTTCTATCGCATTTCGTAACATTCCTTCTTCATTAAGCTCTTTCTCCTTTATCTCTGTCTTTTTGAATTATGTTTCTCTTGTTCAGAGCTTCACGATCCTTTCAATAATTCAAACGATCCTTCATTTGAATTACATATAGATTTAAGTAGATGTAAAATTCTATTCGACAAGGATAGATTTTCCCTCAGTGCAATAATGCATCGCATAAATAATGAACGCGGACGAATGACGGCTAAAATGAATAGAACACGCGGGAAGAGAACGATTGTTCAAGAAAAATTGAAAACACCGATCGAGCGTGGAGCACAATGCGCTTTGTATCGCGGCGAGGTAAAGTTCCGAGGAGTTGCTACGGGCCTTTGTGAATCTTTCATTGTTAAGTATCGGCAGGTGTCCAACGAGTTATCGCGGCACACATTACGTAAATTACTTGCGAGAGTCTCTTCGCTTCCCCATTGTTCTCACAACCGCGTCTGAACGGCGCGATAAACGCGTTTCATCCCTATCAGATATTCTTATAGAAGTACACATCGTCCCGACGCGAATGGCGTCGCCAATCGCTTTAGTAGCCGCGACAACTCGATAGTTGAGAAAATCCTCGACGCGAGAAGAAACGTATCGCGCTCTTGACATTTTGCTTTGCATAGTCGCTTTGTCTCCTTGCGACGTGCACCACTCGTTATCGAGTTTTTTCCCTATTCATTTCTCGCTTTGTGAAACGTTGACAAACTGTAAAAGAGCCATCGTCAGCTAAAATGGCTGAATAAAGCGAATCTCTTTTTCAGCTTGTTAGAATACATTACTCCGCTATCAATATAACGTAGAAATATTAATAAAGCAATATTTTAATTAATCGCGGATCAAAAATTAGGAGAAGAAAAAATTATTTCTTTTTGTTTTTTTTATAATGTAAAGATTACGTATATTTTGTATGTTGTAAACAAATACAATTTTTATAACTGCTGCGAATTGAATTCATAGTTAGTACAAAGATTTCTTATCTTCAGCGAGAGATACCATCCTACTTAAATAGCAAAGTAGTATAATACAACGTTAGACAGACGACGCCTGGCTTTACAGGCGGTTCGCTACTCAACACTCGGCTCTATAAACGATTCGCGTTATACCCAATGATCAATATTTATCAATAAATCGCACTTTAAATATCATGTGGATAACGACGAGAGTAGCGACGACAACGACAATGATGAGAACAGTAATAAAAAAATAATGATGATGACAGATCAACAATAATGTAATATAACGAAATACTTATAACTAAGCGCAGTAGATCCATCGGGAAAGTATCCTAACGCCGCGTCGTTATCAAGTAATAAGTGTTTATCGATATCGTGATTGTAATTAGCGGCAAGCTCCCGTGCAATCTCTCGTCAAATCACTCGAAGCTGTTCAAAAGGTCGAGGCCGCAATGTGTAACTTATGAAATGCAATTACTGATCCATAGTCACGCTCGTCGATACGTAATCAGTCTGACAGAATGCATAATGCATAGTCGTGTCACGGGATCTAGCAAGTGTAAGGTCCAATGAATGAAGTTGTTATACCCACCTGGCGGTGTTTAACGAAAAGAAAGGGTTACGGGCAACATCGAGCATTTCTAAGGGTGTTGGAAGCGGCATCGAAGACAAATAGACAGGCATAGACGGACAGGCGGAGGGTAATCACAGTCTTAAGTGCGCGTGTTACGTCCGCATAAGTAGTACGACAATAGCACAGCACCGACATATATACCGGGTGGCGCGTACGCGTCGGTAACCCGTTCACGACTCGAGCGGATCGTGCGTTCTCAACTGTACCGACTGGCGTGGTAAAACCCGGGGAACTTTTCAGCATGTGGAACGACAGCACAGTAACGTCCGCGACAGAAGCTTTCAAGGGAAAAAAGCCACAACTTACCGACGGTGTGCGAAAGCTTCGCGCTGTGTGACACACTTACCTACAAAAGAAAGAAGAGGCACGCATTAGAAAGGAGGGTTCTTAATTTTTTTCTCGATATCAATTGCGGCATGTAATTTAACAAGATCGAAGTCATCAGTGTTTTTCAAACGTATTGGAATAGGAACATTTTGTTACATTAGAATTGTCTTAAAATTTTATTCTTTCTTGTGTGTGGAATAAATAAGAATTTTTTAAATATAAGAACGAATATATGTAAAGGATAAATATATAATTGAGTCTCTGAAAATTAACATTGTTTAAATTTCGATTTATGTATGACAAACTTTTGAATTGTAAAAGATGCGCAGTTTGGAAATCACTGATCGCGAAAGAGAAAATGCAAAATAGATAATCAGAAAGCAATACGTAAACAGAGCCAATTGAAGTGCACGATTGAAGCTTCGAAAATGCAAGAAAGCGCACGTTATTCATCAATCATTAAGAATAATTATTGAAAATAATTATTTATAGTTGGGAATGAAATGTTGCTTTTAGTTAAATTAACTACTCAGAGCTTATACGTAAACGTATTCCATAATAAAAAATTAAAGTAAATTTTAAAAGCATAAGTTGGTTAGGATACATTAGACTGCGTTTGATCCGCATAAAAAAAATACGTCAAATATCTCGTATGTATACGGCGTGGCTCTGTAGATATCTCTTATAAAAATTTAATACTGTAAGTGATTATTTGGTTAGTAATTAATTACTTATTTCGAGTATTAAAATCATTAAAAACAGTACTTTCAATAGTTTTAATACTCAAAATAAGTAATTAATCACTAGCCAAATAATCACTTACAGTAGTATTAAATTTCTGTAAGGGATGTAGATGAAAAACATGCTGAAGTAACTGAGATCCTTGATTATATCGAGGATGATATACGAGTACTATCTTTTAGTTTCATGCATCCTAAAATATCATGCTGCGAACTACAGGCTAGATATAAGATACCGCATATTATTCGAATTTTTTTTTACCAAAGGTCACAATGGTAGAGAAACGTTTCTAACTCTAAAGTTTTCTCTTCAAATTACTCAGCTCAGTGTTCCTCAATTTGTCCTTATAGTCAAAAATAAAATCAATGCCGTGTCTTTGCAATTTTCTTCTGGCGTTTCACGACGTGTAAAAAGGCGTAGGAAAAAAATGTGCCTTTACACCGCGACAGTTGAGTAACACTGATCTATAACTTCAAAGGTCGACCCTGGCACTACCTACATTTTTTTCTATGGAACTCACTTGGCGCAAATGAGGCGATTATACTACACAGGCTGTTCTGCGTACATCGAGTAGCGAGAGCTTTTAATTATCTCTGCACATCCGCGCATTTAATATAGGCGGATATATATTACTTAGGCTGATAAGATGCATCACGGCGATCTATGTCGAGTCTTCGTCAAGGACGCGGCGCGTTTCCATGCGATTTTTCAAAGAACTCCGCCTTCTCGAATGCATGTATATATAAATTGCATATAAATGTGGAACATAAAAATCCTAGAAATACAAATTGCTTTATACAAATGATGAACGCAAGCGGGTTAACCGAATCCCGTGGAGTCCGGAGAATGATTACGTTACGATAACTATAATCAGACGTAACAGCTCAGCAACGAGATCTGCTCTAACGTCTTGAAAGCTACGACCTATGCGCTAATAGGGCAGCGAGTTACGGCTCTCTAATTCCAGAACTAATCTAGTGGCGCCTAAGCTACAAACGACCCAAACTTCGTCTTAACTTTAAAGTACCTGCACGACTGTCGGTCCGCGATGCGCCTGTACAATAGAAACATAAGAAATATAAATTACATATACGGCCGAATAAGTTCAGGAAGAGCTAAGCGATACTGCTGAATCGTCTATGAAATTAATCAAATGCGACGTGATCATATTATTATTATTTAATTATGTCCGTTCAAATTATTATTGATTTCCATAAACTTCATTAAGGCGAGAGCTCATATTCGCCATTCATCGTATCAAATATACATTCTGACAGTTTCATTTCGTTGACGCTACAACATTAAGTTAAAACCGAAAATCGAATGGCTACAATTTTAAATGTTATAAAAATACATGTGAAGATCATACTATAGGCTTTCAATAGCGAGTCGCAAAATGCCGAGGCGTTTACTATATCTGTTGTAGGCCTAGCAACAGGTGGGCTGTTGTCCTTTAGGCCAGTCCGATACTTTATATGTCTCCGTATATAATTCATAAGCAGGAATGTATTTTAAACTACCGTGATTGTCAGTACAAACGATCATAAAATGATTTTCCCCCTTTTCAAATGGAATACTCGATACGCTTGTAATATCGCTGCAATAAATTCTAGCCAATAATCGGATTACCGCGAAAAGTGAAAAGTGAATTTAACTTTAAAAATTCCAATTATTTGAGTTATATAGAATAATCT